CAAGCCAAGCCCCCCTGAAACCCCCCTACTCTTGACTTTAACGTACAAAACTACAAAATCGCCGACCCCGGCACTCCTGTACAATTGCGGTCCCGTTAGTGGCGTTAGATCTAGATCTAATCTAGATTCTAGATTCTAGAAATCTAGATATCTAGATTTTAATTTAGCACTAAAAGGAAGTGGCTATCCTCACCCACGCTGAGAATGAGAATAAAAACGATCGACCTCTCACCCCGGATATGAGACTTGCCAGCGTTGGCTATTCTCACCCGGTGTGAATGAAACAAGACCTATTTTTCCTAATTTTGGAATACGGTGAATACGGCACTACTTGGATATAGTGGTCCCAACTTTTGTATAGAGAGGCCTACTGAAATATCGATAGGCCTACTGATTTAAATAGTCGGTATCAATGTTTTATGTTTTATCAGTAGCCTAGATTAGATTTAAATCTAGCCCACAAAATGAGCACTAAAATTTCACTTGTTTTTCACAAGGCAAGGGGGGTTGCTCCCTTTACTTAAAAAAAAACAAAACAAGGGGTGGTTCACGGGGGCCTGAATTTGACCACAATTTGATGTTTTGCAGTGAGGTTTTAAAGGCTATCTTCTGACTCGCGAATCAAAAAGTAATCGTTTAAACTTAGAACCAGAAGTAATCGTCATTGGGGTCAAACCTAGACTAGATATTTCCCTGTCACAAAAGTCGGGACCACCATATCCAAGTAGTACCCGGAATACTATCGGTGCGGATGATCGAGAGATAAAAGCAAAAAAAAAAAAGACATTATAGCACAAAAGTAAGCTAATTTGATTGTCTACAAAGATACTATGGCTATTTCACTTTTCGAATCGAGCCGAACTACCCGGGTCGCCATTTTGCTTTGCCTGGAAGTTCTTGCAAGATCTACTCCTCCCCCCTCTCTCTCTCTGTCTGTTTCTGAATACTATCGGTGTGGACGATCAAATTGACCAAAACAGAGTTTAAGAAATGATGTTAAAACACTTGCAAGTAAATTAATTTGGTCGTCTGCAAAGATGCTAAGGCTATTTATCTTTTCGAATCGAGCCGAACTATGCGGGTCGCCATTTTGTTTTGCCTGGAAGTTCTCACGCTACTCCTCTCTCTCTCTCTCTCTTTTTCTCTCTCTCTCCACTGCCCACAGACAAAATTACACGCTTTTAGGCTAACAGTAGTAATGGAACGTTTGTTCACGGCACAGAATTTTACAATTCTGTGTCATCATCGTGTAGAATTCTGCGGTTCAGAGGGAACTCTACACTGGTTGGCGTAGGCTGTACTCTAACGGTGAATGCACACCATGTGAGAATAGCCAAAAGACTCGCCTCCGCTATTCTCACCCGGGGTGAGAATAGAGTGGCCTAGCAATAAATCACGTGTAAGCAAAGATTACTGGATATCGATACTGATTTAAATATGGAAGAGGCTAGCCGTAC